TTCTCTTAGTTAGAGCCTCAAATACATACAACCTGGAATTCCCCCACTCCCCAAAGCAGACCGGGAAGGCAGCTGGCTGCTCTGCTCTGTGCAGGCCTGCAGACTGGATATTAATTTTAACCTGTTCTTGTCTTAGTACAAGTGCAGGGAAGGTGAGGATGTGTAGGAGGAATGGAGAGGGGAGAGGCATCTGAGATGATGTGCTGTGGGCTCAAGAGCCCTTAAACATGGTCCAAGACCCTGTACCACTGTATCGCTCTGACAGGCCTCGTTACTGCCATTCAGTGAACACCTACTGTGTGCCAGGCATTTACTTACATTATTTCCACTTCTTACGACAGCCCCAAGAGGTAGGACTTGCTAAGCCCATTTTACAGATGAAGAAACTGAGCCCCGTGAGGTTCGGGCTTGCCTGAGGTCCCCCTGCCAGTAAAAACCTGACCTTCCCCCATACCGCTCTGCTCCACATCACCCTGCCTAGATCACCAAGCGCTCAACATTCACAGTGGCCACTGTGGCAAAGGACGCCATGCAGGCTGCAGAGCAGATGGTTTTTGGTGATTATTCAAAAAAGGAAAAACTACCACAGCAGAAGAGGAGGCTGGGCCTGTTACATTTAACAATAGATGGGGTTGGCCGGGCTGAGTTTGTCTCTTAAATAGGCAGGCACCACAGGGCAGAATTCGCAGGTCCACGGCCAGACCTCTGCTGCATATGGTATAAACATTAAGCTATAGGGTGGCCTTATTTAAAAGCAGACTCTTTTATAGGCGCACGGTGCCGTCTAGACTCGGGAGCATTTATGAAAGTGGCTGTACTACACGATGGGCTCAAACACCTGAGTTCCCGGCCTCCGTCATTTTGAGGGTGGGCTGTGAAATCTCTGACCTGTGCAGGCACAAATTGAATTTTTTTTTGGAGGGTGTATGATTTCAGACATTTGGTAATCTCTTCCTGCTGGGCTCTTTCCTTACCTTAGTCTTTCTTTGTAGATTTGGGTGAGGATTGAGGAAAACTGGAAAGGAGATTTCCTCCACAATGCAGGGCATCTCTGGGCGTTTCTTTAGTAGCCCTCGCTGTGAGGGTAATTACGTCATATATTGTGTAAGTTTTGCTTGTTGCCTTCTCTCCCCATTCTCCCTATCTTGAGGGCTGGGGCCAAATCGTGTTGGATCCCTCTTGTGTGGTGTCGGCACTGCGCTTGGTACCTGGTAGGTGCTCAAAAGGAATAAGTGAATGAACAGTCAAAATCCAGAAAGGCAAAAGGGAGTATCTTGGGTCAGATTTTTATATTCTAAGTAGGAACATTTTATTCCCCTCTTCACCTGGATGGGCAACCGTAAGAAGGAGATAGGGGAAGATGGTCCTGGGTTCACGTTGTTCATCCTTCTGTCTGATCTCAGCCTCAGGTGCCATGATGATCGTGCTGGGTGGGTCCAGCTGCTCTGGGCTTCCTGACATTTCAGATGAGGGTGCAATTTAAAGACCCAGGAGAGAGGTTCTTTTGACCTTTCTGTGCTTTGGGAACAAATGTGGTCTCCAGTCCCAAGGCCTTCAGTCACTGCCTCATGAGGAACCAGGAGGAATTCAAGTTTGCTCTGAGGATGAAGGGAAGGAAGGCAGGCCCTATTTATGGGGCATTTTCTCCAGGGTAAACATGGCTCACATTTACTGAGCACTCGGCCCGGGCCAGGCACATTCTAAGCACCTGACATAATCCTCACAGGGACCTGTGCGGCAGGTACTGTTATTTCCCTACTTGAAGGATGAGGCAACTAGAGCGCAGAGAGGTTATGCAACCTGCCCAAGGTCACACAGCTGGTGAGCGGTTTTAGCTAGGACTCACAGCCACGTCCCTAGCCATCCTGCAGTACTGCTTCACTGTGCACTGGCTTAGCTAGTCCTTCAACTTCATGAAGCAGGCCCTGTATTACATGACAAGGGCTACATTTATAGATCTCCTCCTTGTTTCTAAACAACTCTTTAAAAATGTGACAACCATTCTTAGCTCTCTGGGCCCTGCAGAAACAGGCCTGGAGCTGGAATTGGCCTACAGTCTGAATATGCAGCAAACAAAGAAGCAAGATAATTTCAGATGGTGGGAAATGCCCCGAAGAAGATAAAATGGGGACAGGTGTAGAGAGAAGGGGGTGGCCAGGGGTGACCTTATCAGCTGGAGGGGCCGGGGAGGGCCTCCCTAAGGGGGTGGTGTGAAGCTGAGGCTTGAATGATGAGAAGGATGTAAAGATCTGCCCTGTGTGAGGCACTGAGCACAGTGTCTGTACTGTGTCTTAACTGCTCCAAGAATGCATGCTATTATTACTGTCGTTGCTATTGTTATCGTGGGTTGCAGTCAACTGGCTCCACGAGCTTGGGTGAGTTGTCTCACGGCTCTTGGGAGTTGAACTGAAGGTCTTCCCTCTGGCCTTGCGGTTGCACAGTTGTAAGTGATTTCTAGCCTTTGTCTCCTCCTGACTCCCCACTAGCCCCTTTGAAACAGGGGGCAGAATGAGCCCTCTTTTACATTTTCGGTAGAAGATTCATTGTCGGAAGAGGGAAGCTTTTGTGGAGGGACAGCCACTATGGTTATTAACATTTGTGGGGCCCTTTTAGTTTCCTCAGTGCTGAGCGGGGTTTGATTAGAATGTGGGCACTCTCCTTTTCATCCTGGGCAGGAAGCATCGCCCTGGCAAATGCACCGTGGGACCGGCGGCCTCTCGCTCCACTGTTGGGGGGAATTGACAAGTGGGCTTATTTTCTTACTCTCTAGAATGGTGCTACCCTCCCCTGACCCTGGATGGTGAAAGAATTTATTTCTATTGTAATTTGACAATGGGGCCTCCTCCAGGCCAAGTTCAGCCTGCTGTATAATCAAAGGGGTGGTTTCTCTCCTTGGCCCATCTTTAGTTCATGGAGGAATGTAGGAGTTGGTCCAACAGCCACCCACATCCTCCACGGCCTGTGTGTGTTCACTGTCTGCTTCCTCCAAGAACAAGCTCCCAGGATCGCAGCCTCTACTCAGATAAAATAAAGCCTTCCAGTCATATCTTTATGTTTGACGTAAGCCGAGGGAGGCTTTTTCTTGCTACATACAAATGGGGCTGTCGTGAGGGCCTGGGGTAGCTCTGAGCCTGGCACCGTGGTCAGAAGGGGCCTTGAAGCTGGAAGCTCATTCATCTCTGTGCAGCCTCCTTTCATCCAGCCACGTGGTCTCCCTGCAGTCTAAGGGAGGGTGGTGCCTGCCCCTGGGTTTACAGCAGGGCATCCTGTGTTTCCTATCTGCCTTCTCCATTCCTTGATTGCCCATGTAGGTAGGATGCCAGAGAAATCCTAAATCGTTTTCCTATTGTGCCTGTTTTGGCCGTATGGTTTGGCTGTATGGTCCCTCCTTTTTTGCTTTAATACCGCATCACTTCTCTGGTCTGACCACTCATCACCTAATAACATCAACCTCTCCCATCTCTCCTCCCTCCTGCCCCCCTTCTCTCCTCCCTTTCTATCTACCTACTCCCATCTGCCTGCCCACACCTGTGGTTTTCTCAGGCCTGCCACGTGCCCAGCACGGTGTTAAGCACTAGAGATAAAGCGGTGAAGAAGATCCCCACTCATGTAGAGTCAAGTAGCAACACAAATACTGATTTAATTACAACTGGGGAAGGTTCTGCAAAGGAGAAATACAAGGAGCTGCTAGTCAACTCACCCTGTTTTTGGGAGATGAGCAAATAGCAAAAACAATAGTAATAATAGCTCCCCAGTTCTTGTGGAGTCATCGATGGACTGATTGTATTTTAGAAGTGTTTCCAGGTATAGTGCTTGGTGGGGACCTGGTGCAAGTCAGAACTTGCAAATGTTCACAGATGTGAATATATTCCTGCTGAAGTTGACTGTGGTTCACCCTGTGATGGTCGAGATGTGTCTCTTGGGCCGCTGATAACAAGCATATTTTTTCCTCCAGAGCACTTCATGGCTTTGTAATCCAGAGGGATTATTTAACTGCCTTTCATCCAGGAAAGGGTGGTACAGGTGAGAGTTGAGGTCACAGGAGGACCAGTTTGGAGGGGACTGAGCAGGCGTTCGGAGCTGGCAGCAAATTGGTTGGCAGGCTTCCTTGTCACCCATGGATACCTCCCCCCACCAAAGTCATTTTTGTCCCCCTTACAGCCAAGGCGGATTAAATTACCCAGTAACTTGTTTATGAGCAAAGATGAATCCATTGGCAAACATATTTTTCCTTATTAGATTCCCATTGTCATCTAATTCCTTTTTATTTATGTGTTTCTTTTGAGTAATTGCTCTGTGCGTTGGCCCTGGCAATTCTCTCCAGTTTGGATTTGCAGGCGACATTGGCACGGAGCTTTTGGAATCCCCTGGGGCTGGGCAGGGAGTCTAGCTGTCACTCTCTTTGTTTTATCCTAATTTTTCTCTGGCAGAGACTTTTTGTCACATCACGTGCTATCGAAGGTGCCTTGGGCAAGAGGAAGGATGTAGGAAGGATTTGGCTTCCGAGCAGTTGCATAAACACAGCAGAGACTGGAGTCTTAAAACCCAAGGTTTGAGGCAGAACTGGCCTTGAGATGGGCCAATAATGTTTTTCTTAGCCATCGCCGTGGCAGCTGCACGGTGGAGCTGAGCGATACTAATTTCACCTATCCATGTGCAGTCGCCGATATCCTGTAAACCGAGCTCTCCTTTTTTCCTTTTTTCAAAGGATCAGGATTCCTGGAGTAAATGAATCTGGCCACGCGAAGCAGTCTCCGCTTTTATGAAAACAACCCACCATCCCAAACCCCAGGCTGTTAAAACCTGATGTTTTCTGTTGCCGGGAGAAGAGGGGTTTTTGCTATAAATGAAAGATGTGGCAGGGGGTATTTCGAAGCTTTGTTTTGGTTATTGTCGGTTCTGCCAACGAGGAACATCTGTATTTATTTTCCAAAGTCTCCCCATGGCTGATTTGCATCTGTTTAGTTCTCTGAGTAACATTTCATTTCCTGACTTTATAGGTTGCTATAAAATCCATTCGTAAGGACAAAATTAAGGATGAACAAGACATGGTTCACATCAGACGAGAGATTGAGATCATGTCATCCCTCAGCCACCCTCATATCATCAGTATTTATGAAGGTCAGTGATTTTTTTTTTTCACCTCCGTATCAGTTACCATTTCTCATACCATAGGGCCTGCCAAGATTTTTAAGGTAATTGCCCGTCTGGACAGGAGCCAAGTATTTTTCCTCATGATGCAAAAATAGCCGGGTGTTATCTCTTGTTTGGTTACCTTGAATGCAACCAGACACACGTAGCGCAGCTCACTTTAGTCATAAAATAGCTCTGGCGGGTGCCTTCTTCCGTCTTTCCAGTTCCTTGGCGGTTGCTAAGCAACCTGCCTTGTTGAGCTGGTATGTGAGACAGCCATGGTTTCTGAGAATGGCACTTTGCTGGGTGACCAAATAATGGTAGAACCCCTGTAAATGTTATTCCCCAAAGCTGATGCTCTGGTGGTGGTGTCATGAGTTATTCAAAGTTAGGCTCTTTGAGTTAGGAATTAACTTTGAGCAGGTCCAGGAAATACCAAGAAAGAAGAGGGAGCCACGGATGTGACAGATGCTTCATAAATGGAATCCAAGTCGTAGTTCGTGTTTGTAGAAAGGCAGGATGGGGAAAAGCTTATAAAAATGCTCATGCTTTAACTCTTTGGTCCTTCATAGGAAGAAATGGAAAGTATAAACTTCCTAGTCTATCATTTAAAAAAAAATCCTTAAAAAAATTACACAAGCAATATGTTTTTTGTAGAAATGATTGAAATACAAATGTTAAAATTAAAACAATAATATCTCTTCTAACTCCCAGTTTGATAAATAGCTCTCTAGCCATATTTATATTTTCATATACTTCTCTATATCTGCATGTGGTTTTTATCCAAAGTTAGATCATACTGTTTATAGTATTTTTTAGTTTGAGTTTTTTCACTTTTTATATCATGCATCTCTACCTATGTCGATAAATATTCCCCTGTAAGGACATTTAAAAAGGCTTTATAGTATTCCATTTATGGACATACCGTAGTTTATTGAATCTAATTCCTTTTGTCAAACATTTAAGTTGTTTCAAATTTCTGGTTATTAAACAGGGCTTTAGTGACCCTCCTTGTACATCATTTTTAAATTCATTTCTGATTATTTTCTTATGAAAAATTCCTAGACTTGGAATTACTGAGTCAAAGTGTTTCTCCAGAATATTTTTTAATATATGGTTGAGTCAGAAAAATGAGCCTATTTTTAATTTCTGGTCTGATCATAATAAGTTATGGAGCCCTAATAAGGGCTAGGAGGAAACCAGATGGTAACCCTAAATTTTTCTGATATTTTAAATTTTCCTTCTTCTGGTTCCCTGCTGTTTTTTTTTGCCATTCTTTTTTCTGCTGTTTCTATTTTTGTTCCTCATCTAGAAGTAAAGGTCGGTAAAATTTTTTATCTTGATTTTTCTAAAGCTCATTTTTGGAATCCTTGGGGATAGGATTTTTAAGGGAAATTTTCATTCATTTGATCATTTATTCATTCCACAAACATCTCTTGCAGTGATTCTCAAAGTGCTGGACTAGCAGCATTGGCATAAATTGGGATTGTTAGAAATGCAGATTCCCAGGTTTCACCCAGGACCTGCTGCATCAGCAGCTCTAGGGGTGGGGCCCAGCAATCTGTGTTTTAACAAGTTTGGGAACCATTGGTCTACTGAGTGTCTACTTCTCCTTAAGCACTGTGTTAAATGTGGTTAGAAATTAAGGAGGAATATGCCGTGGATCTCATACTCAAGAAGCAAGACAAGGCATGATAGAAAAAGTATTGTGTAGATATGTAAGCAGCATATTCTGGGACCGTGGAGGGCAGGGGGTTAGAAATTTTCATGGAGATGTACGACATCCAGGCTGGGCCTTTGAAGGAGGTTTTTGGGGAAGAATCGGCAAAAGTAGAATTCCAGGCTGATAAAACAAATCTGAATATGCCTGGTGAATGAGGGGAACTTCTAGAAGTTAGAAGTGAGTAGAGGTACAAACTGTAGGATGAGAGTGAGTTTTATTAAATTCTGGGTGTTTTGCTCCATGCGGCCTGGTTTCCATGGAAACCTGAAGGCAGTGGTGAAGGGTGATGTGTATGGACCAGTGTGGGTCACGTGCTCTGTGAGCACTGTTGTGTTTGGGATTTCTTGGCCTAGAGCTGGAACCTTCTTTATCAGGAAGGCAGAGAGAGTGTTATCCCAGCAGGAAGTTTCCAGATTCTTCATCTGGGAGATGTTCTGTAGTAACTGAAGCCTGACCCGGAAAAGCTTGGCTTCTTCATCAGCATCATGCCATCTTTGGCCTTGGGAATCCTACAGGCTGAATGGGGAACAGGAATCTGTCCTCCCCTCAAGGGAAGGCCAGAGATGAAACTTAGTCGAAGAATGTTCTATTATCAAGGTCAAGTTGGCCTCAGTCCAGCCCCTGCTGGAGGCTTCAAGAAGAAGAGAAGCCCTTGCTTGTAACTTGAAAGATGGGTACCAGAACGAATTAAAGTTCTTTGGCTGACTAGAAATAATTTCCATCAAGGCCTCCGGTGGAAGCTTGGGCCTCAGTTCATAAATCCCTATGGACAGGTTTTAGGGAGTCGGGAAAGAGCTTGGGTTCTCACATCAGACAGTCTTGGCTTTCAGTCCCAAATCCTCCACTGTGGCCTGAACATGAGACTTTGGGCAAGATGGTGGGCCTCTTAGTGCCTCAATAACCACACCTATAAAATGGGGATAACTGTTCTACCTTTCTCATAGGGTTGTTGATAGGATTAAATGAGATGATACATGTTCTGGTAAGCTCAGAAAAAGATAATTATTGTGAAGATAGTATAGTCATTATAAGTGGTTCCTAACCTGGGGCCCATTGACAAGGTATTTCATGGGTGAGCTGCAGGGGGTCTGTAAATCCTCTGGAATAGTATATTAACTGTGTTGTCTAATACAGAAGCCACTAGCTGCAGATGAATATTTAAATTAAAATTAGTAAAATAAAATAATTAAAAAATCATTTCCTCAGTCACACTACCCACATTTCAAGTGCTCACTAGCCGTATGTGGTTAGTGGCTGCCATAGTGGATAATGTAGATATAGAACTTTTTCATCATTGCAGGATAGGACCATGCTGGTGTATAATGTTTTATGTGTTAAGTACATGGATTATTTTCTGGGGAGAGGGCGCATAACATTCATCAGACTCTCAAAGGGATGCCTGACTTCAAATAGGTTTAAGAAACCCCACTGCCATCAAGTATTTTGTGACCTACAGAGTACCGTACAAAAAAAAACGAATTGTTTCTATCCGGAAAACTCCCAGGGACTTAAATGTGGCTTTTTTTTCCTTTTAATTTCTTAGAGGTCTCCAGTTTCTGTTCTATTTCCCTTCTCCCACGCAAGTTCTGTTTCTCCCACATCCACTACATAACTGTGGAGGAGGGCAGCTCCCCTCCCTTCCCCCGGGGATTAGGAATGCGCTCTCCAAGGTGCTGTTCCAGCTGTACACTAACTGTGACCCCACGATCTCCAGGTCTTAGGACTTTATCTGCTTCACTGCCCAGGACCCCAGGACTCTGCAGGTGAAGTCAGACATCCTGCTGTTGTCTGAAGAACTCTGTATAGTTGACAAAGCTCTGCCACATCCAGTCTCATTTGACCCCCACAGCAAACCTGTGAGGTGGGCAGGCCAGGTGTTCCCATTTTGCAGTTGTGAAAACTGAGGCTCTGGAAGGTTAGTGACTTGCTGGGTGTATTAGTTTGCTGGGCTGCCACGACTATATACCACAGCCTGGGTGGATTAAACAACAGAAATTTATTGTGTCACAATTCTGGAGGCTAGAAGTCCAAGACCAAAGTGTCAGCAGAGTTGCTTTCTTTGAAGGCCTCTTTCCGAAATGGCTTGTAGATGGCTGTCTTCTCTCTAAGTCTTCATATGGTCTTCCCTTTGTATGTGTCTGTGTCCATGTCCAAATTCCCCCTTTTTGTAAGGACACTAGTCTACTGGATTAGGGCCCACCCTAATGACCTCATTTAACCTTAATTACCTCTGTAAAGACTTTCTCTCCAAATAGCATCACATGATGGGGTACTGGGCATTAGGACTTCTACATAGGGATTTGGGGGACCCAGTTCAGCTCATAACACTGGTATCACAGCTAGTTGATGGCCCTGGCACATGGTCTCCTGACCCCGTTTGTTTTTTCCCTCTGCCAGGCCTCGGCCCTGTATTTCTGACCTTGTGTCTTGTTTTGCTGGCTCTGCAGCCCACCTCTCTGCCCCAGGCATCCCCCTCAGCCTGTCTTTTTTGATCCTTTTCAACCTTGGGGCGTGGTAGGGGCAGTGTGGTGGCAGGCCCCAAGTCTGTGAGTTAATACGCTGGTCTCTCTGCCACTCATAGAGTGAAAGGGGAACCTTCTCTCTGAAAGCTGATTGGTTGTTTGATAGGCCAATCAAGAGCCTTAGTTGAGTGCAGAGGTGCATTAATTTGCCTAGTGAAAATGTCAAGGCATCTAAGTGGCTGTTTGGACATTAGCCAAGTGAATAGAAGCTGTTAAATAACTTTACAATTTCTTCTTCAACAAGGACCTTTATGATTTAAAACACAGCAGCAGCAGCAGTAACAATAATGGCAGCAACATGGCAAAGTAATGATGTGCCCAACCCTGTATGTTTAGGAATTTTGGGCTTTCATGAGGGGAAGGCGCCATCTTGGACTGTACTATCTGGTGATATTGAAATACTAGTTCCAGAGAAAAAGTAATTCCTTCATCAAAAAAAAAAAATACTAATTAAGTGCTTACTCTGTACCAGGCCCTGTTCTAGGAGCTAGGAATACAAGGGTGAACAAGACAGGCTCTGGTCTCATGGAGCTGAGATTCAGTGAGTAGACAAATGAATGGATAAGTGACTTGAGCTGAGACCTGAATGGAGTAGGGAGTGAGCCCTTAGAAGACCTGGGTGTTCCAGGCGCATTCCAGGCAAAGAGAACAGCAAGTGTGAGTGCTCAGAGGAGGGAAGGATCTTATGTTGGTAGAAGTGACAGAGGGCCTGTGAGTCTGCGGGAGTGAGTGAGTAGGATGGT